GTTAGTTAACACTAAAACGAATTGAAGAATCATTTCTTTCTAGCGTAATTCTTACTTTTTGTTTTACAACGTCATTGAATTTAATGTTGCAAAGTCTCTCATGGACTTGCCGAATACTTCACTCCTGTATGGCTGAACAAAAAGCAACACGGAACCAAACTGAGCGCTCATCACAGCTAAAGCAGCTCTCGACAGTCACTAGTACTCAGCGTCTCTTGTGCAATAAAACCAATAATATAAATGTAGGCGTCATGGTTTTATTTTGTTATTGGCGATTAGATCAAGAACGTTATCCATTTCCATGACCTCCAGTAGAATAAAATCATTTCTGCGCTAATTTTCAAGCATTGATATTAACTCCGAACGATCAGAACAGAAAATGTAGGAAAACTGTGAAACGGTAGAATAACTGACTAAAGAGGTTTTCTAGAAGGCACAGGATGAGCTGTAAGTGTCACCGTGACCATTCTTGTTTTACTTTTCTGACATTAATCTCTACAGGCTAAACGATATTAAAGGGAAAACCTCGCATAGAGAACTTGCTGATCATGTTGTTTCTACTGCTTTTTGTGCTGATAACCCTGGCTTCTGCGACCGCCAATAATGTCAGCAGCAAACCATGTGACAAGAAAGTGAGTAGCTCCCTCTTTGTTGTGTGAGTTAAATAAAAGGGAAAAAAAGGAAGGAAGAACGAGAATAGTGCAGATGACAAGAAATAACATACAATAACATACAACAGCGTAGCTTAATAATAAATAACAGACGAGCTGCGGTGACAAACATGACAATAAAACGCATTTTGGAAAACAACAGTTTATTTTTTTGTTTCTACTACTGTAAACAACTAAAAGAATTTACAAGATTGTAATTATAGATATATAAATATACAGTACAGTACATACAGTAGTGGGACACCCAAAATAACTAAAAAGCTAAACTAGTTGGGTGACCGTAATTANTAATAATTAAAAATGTAAGAGTCAGGAAAGAGGCACAACAAATACATTGGTACACATAAGTATCACAAACTTAATTAATTAACTTGACGTTTCAGATGTTTCGACATACGTCAATTAATTCTATTTTTCAAAATGCGTTTTATTGTCATGTTTGTCACCGCAGCTCGTGTGTTATTTATTATTAAGCTACCATGGCCAAAGAAAAAGAGTATTTACGAAAGTGCAGATGATATTATCGCTTCTAAACATTGATCATTGCTGTTGACTAAATTCACGAAGGCTTACATTAAGACGCTTCCTGTCACTTTATTATGGCTGGGACCTTTACAGAACTCAAGGTGTTGATCCTTCTTCTGAGACAGGTCTCAATGTGTTACGGTGGACAACCAGGGACAAATGGCATTCCTGGTATGCATGGCATGCCGGGTTCCCCTGGGGTACCTGGCCGTGATGGACGTGACGGAGCCAAAGGAGACCAGGGCAGCCCGGGGAAGACTGGGTCCCAGGGACCAGCTGGTGCAGAAGG